GAAGTCAACTAAAGGGCTGATAATAATTATCAAAACGCCTACCATTTTGAATAAGTAAATATTATCGTTATCTTGTAGCCACATATGTTGTTAACGCATCATTAGTTTGAAAGAAGGCAACTCACTAACTGTTATAAATGACCTACATAAAGAAAATATTTGAGGTTTAAGCCAACGTCATTTTTTTCAACTCCATGACGTGAAGATACTTTCTTCCGGTTGCTAGTAAATTACGACGCGGCTTATAAAATGTCCTTGCAAAATGCAAATTAATGTAAATTCACCTTCGTCAGGATCGATATCAGGTGTTAATTCCCCTTAAACGGCTCCAGCTTAAAAAATGAACTTCTTCAGTGCGAATCACCAAAAAGCAATGTTCGAACCACTATACCCTCACTTCTCCATGCCCTTCTTAGAGGTAATCATTAAAATCTATGCTTTCTCATGCCCTTCAGTACGAACTGCACCCAATCATTCTGATCGACTGTAAGATAACTTCAAGAACAACGTGACCCAACACTGACCAGGTAACTAATCTAGTGGTCAGCCAGCTATTCTCTAAAGCAAGTATTCAAGTATAGTAATGTATATATGTATGTATATTATGTACACAAACACAAGAGATTGAACAAGAAGCATCAAGGAAAAGAGAGATAGTCACATTGTGTTTCATTGGCGCCTGTGTGTGGATGGTAAAGGAGGACGGCTGACCGGCAACTGATTTCACCAACCGGTATGGAAAAAAGTATATGAAGAAAAAAGTATGGCGCCTCGAGAGGAGATTCTGAGTGTGTGTGAGCGGTCCAAAGGGTAGAAAACAATAGCAGTAACCGGAGAAGGAAAAGATACGCGTACATACATAATCCAAACCGCCTATGTGTCAGAAAGCGGTTGAGAAATGATCCGAGATGTGAAGATTGATGGCTTTTAGCCTATTTGAGTGCCAACAGCTCACTCAGAAGTTAGGATGGGAAGAATAAAAGTGCGGGTGGGCAAATGCAGGGCACAGGGGGAGGATTGATGGAGGAGTACACTACACAATGTTTAGGTTTGTGTCCACATTTTCAGTCAACAATTTTCTGCAGAACCTAGAGCACTACTACCACCAGTGCCACTAGATACCACCGCTGTTGTAGCAACCACATTGGGGGGCTGGAGAGTAAGACCACCAGAAGCAAGTAGAGCTACTTTTTCATCCTCTTCTGTCTCCTGGTGGTGAGTAGCCGCTGTTGACACAGGTAATGCGGTTTTAGTCGAAGTAGTTGTGGTTGTAGACCCAGTGATAGTAGCAGTTGTGGGCTCACTTAGAACTCCACTACTAGATGATCGATAAATGAAGACCCCAGGAGGTAAAGCGTCACGACAGGAGGGTTGTTGGCGCAGAATATGTGGTGGCAAAGCGGTATCACCTGGTTGGCTTGGTGAACCCAGCTTTTGACGTTGATTCGCCAGATCCTTCTTGATTCTCATGGCTGAAAGACGGTGCGTAGGATTAGCTGACCAACACTCCGTCATTATGTGATAGAGCAGACGCAAGCTTTCATCTGTCTGCCATATCAACGGCAAGTGAGGTCGAATTCCTAGTTCACAGACTACCGACTTCATTTCTTCAACTAGAGGATCTGAACCAACATTATCCTACAAAAATAAGACAAGAAAGTCGATAGTTTGCTTTCAAATAAAACCGGATTAAGCTAATTTTGAAGATTCATACTTGATATGGGAGTTGATATTCCTCAGGACCATAGAGATCAGGCACATAGACACGTCGGGTCATTTCCCAGAGAACCAAGCCGAGAGAATAGATGTCAGCCTGCATGTAAGCATCAAATGAGTTGGTGCAGAGGGTGTTATCCAACACTTCAGGAGCCATATACCGTTTAGTGCCAACACGTTCAGTATTGTGACCAATATCAACACAGCCTGTGATGCTGTCATAACGCACAGCGAAACCCAAATCCCCAATACAACACTCTCCATCACCTTTAACAAGAATGTTGCGAGACTTCAGATCACGATGAGCAATTGGTGGTTTACCCTAGCAAGGAAGAAAAAAGATGATTAGAATAAAAACTATAACTGCGTCGATCAAAAAGGTACCTCTGTCAATTTACATGGATGGTCCATAAAATAGGAAGAAAAAATGGAGACACATCATACTAGCACGCTTCCCGAGCAACCGTAGTACTAACTACACTGACTATTACGTGGTTTTTAAATAGCAGGATTAACTACAATATATTTCTGATCGTACTTATCTTTCAAATGAGGGGTGCTCGATAGGCTTACCTCCTCGTGGTGCTCCCTGGGCAACGTATACTCATATGGCAAACAAATCTATAAACTGGAAGTTAACTTCTGACTTCAAACTGCCATCACTCCACCGTATGTCATAATGGACAATTTTCACAGTTCTCACCTTACCCTTTTCTCTACTTTGGTGTGTCTCGTTTAAAACTGTGAATCATTTCTGCCCCCCCCCCCCCTCGACCATTTGTGGCTTTGTTATTCCTCCCCTCCGTGAAGTCCGAGGTCAAGTAAAGGGCTAATGATAACCATAATAAAGCCTGTCATTTGATATAAATAAATCTCTCAAATATCGACGGGTTTTGCCATTTGATTCAGCAATCTTCCTTTCATTAGAATTTCTAATGAACAATACGAACAACATATCTAAAGAGAATAAAGTGATTTCCTAAATCAAAACTATAGGGCATTTATTAAATGGTTGAAACCGAATGACGCCATGCAGTAGCAAGCGAATTGCCCCCTCCCCCCCCTCTCCATCTCTCACAAAAATAGGTAGAAAAGTATCCACCATCAAAATCCACCTTTTTAAGTATCCAATCGCCACGGGCAAAAAAAATAAACACCATTGGACGCAGAACGCTCCCGGTGTGTTCACATAAGTACACACACACACACACACACACACACACACAGTAGGCAAGCTAGAAAGAGTGGGACCGAGAGAAATCTGCGCTACTGCTGCTTGGTTGCCTGAGAAACGAGAGGCAGAGGGGAAACTGTGCCTAATTTNGTAGAAAAGTATCCACCATCAAAATCCACCTTTTTAAGTATCCAATCGCCACGGGCAAAAAAAATAAACACCATTGGACGCAGAACGCTCCCGGTGTGTTCACATAAGTACACACACACACACACACACACACACACACAGTAGGCAAGCTAGAAAGAGTGGGACCGAGAGAAATCTGCGCTACTGCTGCTTGGTTGCCTGAGAAACGAGAGGCAGAGGGGAAACTGTGCCTAATTTTAGTAGTGGTAGAGGCAGCACAGAACAGCACTGACTTAAAGTCACTTCTGCTACTGAAGTAGCAGCGCGTGCACCCGCACCAAAAAGCGGATGCGGTGCGCGCACGAACGCATGCCCACACAGCCGCACCCAAAAATGACTACCAATAGCAGCAGAAAAGAGCGATAAATTCATGTGTAGGTAATTAACCGGCATCATGAGGTGCCCCTACCTAGCCCGTCCTCTCAAAGGTTCGAAAGTATCAATCAAACAAATAGAAGAACGCACGAATAGAGTAAATGCTTGTGTGATTGATGAGTGCATTTTTAGAGACAAAACAATGAGAGAAGGATTAGAGAACCCGATAAGCGGTAACGATAAAAGGGGAATGACAGATGAGTGTCCTTCCTTGCCATAGAATGAGGAAGGAGGGGGAGGGGGGGGGGGTAATGAACGCACCTCTAATTGCTCCAATGTGTGGGTGAGATCTGCTGTCAAAACAGCAAGAACGAGAAGGCCATGTAAGAAAGTGCATTCGCAATGTGCCAACACACAATCTGTTTATACCTACGTACATTACTTTCATTCATTCATTCATGGTCTTCCATAAAACAGCACGCGCTTAAAACATCTTTGACCGTAAATACTGGAAGCAAAAAAAAACAGATAAAACCTAAAGATCGAACTGTGTTTTATAAACCGTTGACATGTAAAGAATTCCATCGATTCTGAATTTATTGGGGGTATAAAAGATTATAATTAACAACACAGGGTTGTGAATATCCTTGGGGGAAACAAGCCATGTCAGCATAAGACTATACCTCAGGTTACTTTGAATGAAAACAAGTAGTAGACGAGTTATTGTTTACTATTTAAAACTTACGTTTAGAGACTATTTGGATAGATTTAAAAAAGGATTGATACAGAGAATTTCTAGCTTTTGCAAAGAAACATTGTTTAAAAGAGCCCAGGGTATGGAGAGTTTATTTTAGGTAAAAGGCGTTTTCGCATTAAGTCTACAAGTTCTAACAGCTATTGCTTCTGAAGAGGTTCACACACACACACACACACACACATTCAGTGAAAGGTATGATGACGACCTCATGAGATTAGATAAACCAAAAGTTCTTAAAGAACTTAAAGAAAGGAGTTCTATTCACTAAACTTTACACGGATTTATTTTCGCGGGGAGTAAAGGTGTGTGTGTGCGACTAAAACCACATGAAGAAATGCAACTAATTTCAAGAATACTCCATTATTCAAAGACAAATTTGCAAACAATCCATTCTAGGAAAAAGCAACAGGAAACACAGCAGTCAAAGTGAATGATTTTTCAAACTCTAACTATAATTTCGAAGTGAAATAGAATACAGATACTGAGAGTGACAAAATGTGTATCTTTAGCCCTCCGATTTGCATAAAACAAGCAGAGTGAGAGATGGGGAAAGAAGACAGTTTATGCACCCACCACCACCACCATCACGTACAAACGCAAACAGAACTAAGCGAGCGATAGCGAACTTTTGATGTAAGCTAAGCAAGCAATCAGCACGCACAAAACAATAAAAACATCATTATAATCACCCATACACTACCAAGAGTCAGAGAGTGAAAGGAAGGAAGAGGGTAGAACAATAAGTGCTAAACAATTTCATCCACGTACCGAAGTGCCAACAATAGCCATATGAAGATGGGCAAGACCATTGGCAATTGAAGACACCATCTTGATGAGCGCTGGTAACGTGAAGGCGTGGATTTGAAGGAACTCGTAAAGCGATCCGAAACGATGGTATTCAGCAATGAGCCAGAGCTCGGTTGAGATTCCATTGTCCTTGTTATCCGCAGCAATAAAGCCGAGAATGTTGCTATGACGAAGGGTTGCCGTCTCGTAGATCTCTTTCTCCCTAAAGCACAAGCAAGGAAGAAGGGGAACTTCAAAGCGAGTTGTCGGCGTATAAACCATGCGTGTTTGTCCACAAAGTGGGTTAAATTAAAACCACGTACTACCGCACATTCTCCCTCTCAAATAGAATTGGCAAGACACTTTCCTCGGATTAAAAGGAAAGAGGAGACAGCTTCACCCACTGTTAACCAATAAGAGAATATCAAAGCAAGACCATCTCAATTGATTTATTGTCGATCGGACATGATATCTTACACAAACATCATCGAATTTATTACCAAGTCAGAGGCCAAAATAAATAACGTTCTGGTTACAACTATTTAAGTCAAAATAAAATAATTACCTCATACGTATAGCCTTAGTTTGTACTAGAAGGAAAGAGATCCAAAGTCCTATCAGGCTGATGATCGGTATAGGTGGCTATTGCATCTGGAATTTAATCAATGAAACCTAAAATGACTAGTTAACAAAGTCATTGGCATAGTGTTCGCAGGGATCCTCCCAATTTAAAGAAAACATGAAGGGTAATTAGGGGTGGTAGTTTAAAGGCTTCAATGTAGTGCAAGACAACCAACATTCCTTTCAGAATCAACACAAATAGCTCATGAAAATATGGACAACAAGACAATAGAAATGACCAAAACTTAAGGAAACAAATACCATAAAAGTCAAACAATTACCTAATAAGTGGATGCTTCTATAATCACCATTACTTGTACTTTCAAAAGAAGAATTTATGCCCTCGTGTTCCGGTCAAATGACCAAACATAACTCAAATTAAATCTGTCTGCATTTTCAGTGCAACCTTATGGATAGATTAAGATGGACATGAAACTCAACATTCACGATCATCAGCATTATCACAGTCGCCGTCGTCGTCGTGGTCATGACCTTGTCCACTTAAGGAGGACATCCGCCAGCCTGGCGGTTCTTTCACACAGAGAGAACTCCGCGACATCCTACCCCACCCCACCCAGATGAGTTTCAAACTGGGTCGGTTGTGTGTGTACACGTTGGCCTAGTGTGCGTGTGAGAGAGCTACACCAACTGACTAAGCAGTAGGGAGACAGAGGGAAGGCCTCTCTCTCTCTTGTTGCCGAAAGCTGGGTCAGCCTAAACACACACACACACACACACACACACCCCAACAGCAGCAGCTAGAAAGACCAGCTAGTTAGCGAAGTGGAAGAAAAGGTGAGTCACTCCAAGTAGAACTAACGCTGCTGCTGCTGCCTCTGCTATAGAGAAGCAAAAGCAGAAATAGCGAATGAATTGACTTCGACGACAAGCGATAAGCTTCCACGAACTTCTTAATTTTGGCTTATAACGCACATAATGGTAACACAATACAGATGAGATTTGACATAGAGGAAACCGGTTAACGAACTTGGTAATAGGATATCCGCGTTTTGGAAACTGCCCTAATAGTTCAATAATTTATCGAAAAATAAAACGTTTGAATGCTTCCTTATTATTAGGTGTGATTGAGAACCTCAATCTTATAACCCTTTTGTTTTAGGTCTTGAACCAAAGTTTATAGTGCACCAAACCTTAACTGGATTGGGCAGCCCAAAAACCACTCGAATTCAATTCACCAAATAAGTTTTCAGCTACATGAAAAAAATTGGAAAACCGATTGAAAATAACTCCTGAGCAAAAACCCTCTAAGCAGCAATAAGGGTTTACACCAAAGAACTAGCACCATCACCCCTCTACCTACCTTTCAAATTGAGCGGATCTTTAACATTAAGATGATAAAAATATAGCATTAATAGCCCACCTTATCCATGAGTTTTCATTCCTACTGGAGAATATTTTTACAGCAACTTGATCACCATGAAGTCTTCCCAACCATACTTCGCCATAACGACCTTCACCAATTCGAGTTGAAAGAGTGACCTGTCTGGCCACTGTTCTTTCCACTAAGAGGGGTTGACCAGCTCCACTTCCACTCCCTGAGGTCATATCCAATGCGCCACCAGCTCCAGGGGGAGCAGAGCAAGAGGCAGGAAGAAGAGAAGCCCCAGTTGTGTATGAGGATGCTCCAATAATCTCCGATCCACGAACAACTGTCGAACCACTTCCTCCCCCATATCCACCAACTCCTATTGAAGAAGCACCAGTGATGTACATTCCTGGACTCATTATTCCGCGAGGTCTAATAGCAACAACGGATGAAGAGATCGATGCTCCGCCATCAGTACCATGAGGTATTAGAACAGGTGTTCGTGAGGGATTTCCACTAGCATCTATTCCTGTTCCACTGGAATTGATTGTCACGGCAGCGGCTACAGGGGTAATTACACCGTTAACAGTGACTGCTGTTGTGAGGCCGTTGTCATAGGCCATACTAGTTTGGTAGGGGGATGCGCCAGGAATACCACTTGGACCTCCAACACCGCAGCATTCGACCATATGCCATGGACGAGGATCAGTTGAAGAACCATGAGCACCTGGTCCGTCACCTAGACAACTTCCACTCACCATAGAAACAGGTACTTGAGTAGCTGAAAAAGCCATATAACAAAAATAAGTAATTTTTTCAAAAATCCAACTTTTGAGGTAATAAAAACCAATGTAAAGAAGAATAGACCTCATAGACAACATTAGAGTCCATTCTCTAAAAACATAACTAACAATTTAAGAGAATAGCGGAACCCAGCACCTATTTTAAGTAAAATAGATAACACTAGAGGTTTTGTGATGGAGCAACCAGTATTTAGAAATTCTTCAGTTATAGGCAGTGCGATTTATCGTTCAATTACTGGAACAAAATTAAACACTGCAAGGAAGTTCAGGTTAGAAATGTGCCCCAAATGTGAAAATAAAAAATGAATACCAACGTTTTGTTCACAATCAGTGAGTAGAAGTGGCCAAAGGAAAGAAGCCTTTATAGCAGGAAATGACAACTAAAGTGTCACATCCAATTTCAATGGCGATTTAACATAAGAAACCCCAAGAGCAAAATTACATATGCAGAGTGGCCTTTAACGAGCTAAAACTTTATGACTGAACATATTCATACTAAAAAGGATGTTATCAGATTTCAGCAGGAATAAAAATAGGTAAGAAAATATAATTTAAAGGACGCAAGAAAGTTACAGAACATAGATAAGCAGACTTACATTTTCTCCAGTCTAAAATTGGAAAATAAATTATCGTAATTTTCCATTAAAGAGGAAACAAATAAGAAAAGACAGGAACTCACCACCTCTATGCCTTAAACGCCAGAAACACCAACCACCAATCAACAAAAGAACCAAAACGACGAGGAAAATAGGTAAAATCACAATGAGGATATTGAGTTTTGGTGTTTCAACAATTAGTTTGGAAATTTCTTCTTCCAGAGGTAGATTGCAGAACGTAGAGTTACAACATCGTAAAGTCCCCGATTTACAGGCCAAAGGCAGGAAGAAATCTGCTGATTTTGGGACCAAACACCTAAGAAAAAGCAAGAAAGCAAATTAGGAAAATATTATCAATGTTAATAGTTAATCTTAATGTGAAAACTCACTCCACGTCATAGAACCGATTGGGAGGGTATGTCGGATCATTGATAAAACTGGAGGTGCAGTATCCTTCAGATGAGGTATTACAGCAATTCGGTTGTTCCCTGATCTGCCGGTAGTATTCATAGTTAGCATCTTTATTAGGGAGATTTTCCAAAAGAACGTCAATATAGCGTCGCCATGATGCAAGATCCTCCGAGGACATATTGATACATTTTTGGCAATCTTTATCACCCGGATTGCAAAGGAATTTTAGACACTGTATCGACTCGGATTGGACAATACACGAGGATGGGAGGAAAAGAGGAAGAAGGACAAAGAGGAGATAGAACATTGCGAGAACCTCAGAGTCTTTTATTGTCACAGCTAATTAAATAATTCGAGGCATAAACTCCATATAGTGACTCTGAAAATCTAAAGAAACACAAGAGTTAATCAATATACAAAGCACATTTATTTAAACAATTAGACTTAAAAATAAAAGATAAAGAGAAAGAAATGAATAAAATGTTACAATGTACAATTCAAAGAATTAGTAAAAAGTAAACCTTATACATAAAAGAAACAGATAGTCTTCATATAATTGCATGTGTACAACGGTCATGGAATACAGTGGGAACCAACATTTGTAACATCACATTAAAAACAAGATAACACAAAGAGTATTTAATAATCCGTTATCATTATTAAGGTAAATGTTATTAAGTTTGCTCCCTTATAGGCATGTCATGAAAATGAAAATTTACAAACAGATAGAGGAGCAGACTACGAAACGTACTCGCAACCTGCGCTTTTTGGAAATCAACTAAAACAAGTCAATAGTGCCCTTGAAGAGATAAAGTCAAAAATTAAAATAATTTTTTTCAACAACTATTTTGACTAAAAGAAACTATTCTATTATAATTATATTATTTGGTTCTTGTAATACGATACACAACTGAAAAAAGGAACATTTTTCAAAGAACCAATGAGAAAATTTGTTTTATTCTAATAACATGCCTATATACGTTTTGCTTAAATTTCGTCAAATAAGTGAACGCGAAATTGCATAAATGATGATGGTTGGTTTTCATACATGCAATAGTAATGAAACTTAAATTTGAACTTATTTACCTAAATATAATTTTCCAGTTGAGATTCATGTTGTTCAATATTCAAGGCTTAAATATTAAGGCCTCTAAGTGCAAAGCTTTTTTGAGCACTAATCAAACAAATAAAGTAATCCATAGAATCTCAAGATAGGGCTTGATGTGGGGGCTAAAGTTCTAACCTGACTGGATCAAAACGGCTCATGCGCTCTCGATCATTCTGGAACGTTTCTGAAAAGAAGCCAATCGAGCTATGGAGCATATCAGTATATGATTGCTCGGACCTCCAAAGCAATAAATAAACTATGGTTGTCCCAGTGTTATTGGATCCAGGTTATATATCATGATTTGCTCCATCTCATCATAAACAACCCAACATACACACGATCAATTCAAACGATTCTCACTTCAAACGTCTGTTTCCTCTACAGCGTTGACGTCGCTTAGCTAACTTTGGTGGTCTTTCCAAACAATGTATTCTTACAGTAGAGCTTACTAAGAATAAGTTCGAGCATATAAGTTTCGACGATCCACTAAAAAGGTACAGGTAGAGAGTGGATGAATGTAGGAATGGACCATTAATGGTTGCGGAAAACGACTATTATTATCCAACTACAAAATGGAATTTAGTTAGTTTATTGAAAATGTGTTGAGACAATATGAATTATGCTATCATTGGTTTCTCTGTGGAAGTTTTGTTTACAAACAAGCTGAAAAAATAAGTAGAACAAATTTGATGCTTATAATTTTTTAATAATCAGTAGAAAATCATTTGTTCAGACACATAAACGAGGTATGATGATTCATTGTGGGGATTCTTTTTTAAGTTTGTATATTCCAGTTGTCAAAAGTTTTGAGTAAAATTAAACTTTTTACTCACATGGAATTGTTTATTTATTTTTACGCGTCCATTGAGCAAATCAATGTATTGCATGTTACGTTCATTTACAATTTTATAATTTTCTGCTTATTAGTTCAAATCAGAGAACATTCGATTCTTATGTCTTACAAAACGATCACCTGAGGATTCTAATTTTAAATTAGTCCCTTACGCGCCACACATTCGTGCCTGTCATCACCATTATTAATGCTTTTGACTATGAAAGAGGTTAATGGTAGAGAAATTACACAGAATGGATGCGAATATTGCACTGTTAAATCTGACTTAGTAATAACCTGAGGTATTTGAAAAATAAGGCAATGAAAGCAAATAACTCTTGTTTAAACTCGAAATCAAATTAAAATTGAAATCACGCCTATCTAGATTAATTACACTTAGCTAAAAAAATGTAAAATGTCAACACATCAATGGAAGAAGCCCTGTCAAAAATTAAGATAATTTGTTCTAAAAAATTATAATAGAATACTCTACTTTGTAAAGGATTGTAGTATCTTATCTATTATATCTTACCAAATTTCTAATAAATATGATCATATATGTATTTTACTATCAAATAAATATAAGGAAACCTTAGAAAACAGACACATAAAGGTGTCGAAGTTGAATAGTCTCATGGTTTAGTTAATTAAATATTAATTAGAGAGAACAATCTAAAAAAACGGCGCTAAAGATGCGTAATTATTTTTAAAACCAATTATTTTACTTACATATTCTATATTTTTAAGAAAATATAGTTATATTTGTGATCTTTAAAAAAGAGAGGGTTTGTTTTGATTCTTCAATTACATGAACATGGTATACATTACTCATTTGCGGTCTTTCATCTAATCAGTTTCGGCATATTGGTTTATTTTCTGATTTTTATAAACCATAATCGCATCTCACCAACTTCACAGTGTAAAATCCATTTTTCTAGAATTTTGGTTCTTATCATAAATGTTACATTCTGGAAATTATTCAACGGTGAATTGTTCAATTTATAATAACTTCTATAGATGGACACTCGGTTTAGGAGTCCTGTTGTTCCACGTAAAATCAGTGGTGCTGAAGATGCATCGGTAAATGCTGTGGTTAAAAAATCTAAAAGATCAAAATCATCAGTAGGATCTTGGTTTGTCTTATGCACATATTTAGGAACATTCACTGGAAAAAGTCGATCCTTTTTTGAGGATGAATGTCAAGGATGGCAAAGATCCTGAAGATCCAATGACAGTCTTGAATAAGAGGTGGTCTATCATAGCCAGGAATCAAGAAACGGTTCGTTTGCCATTTAATCTTTATTTCAATTTCTAACAGATGTCCAAGCAAGAGTTACTCAATAATTATCGATTATTAATGAATGATCATCTTCGTCTTGAACGATTTCTTTCAATTGTTACCAAAGATAGTGAGATGGTGGGTGACTATAATTTCTTTCTTGCTATATATATAAACAAATAACCGTATAATTAAAACTTCAGGCAAGGAACAGACTTGAGACGGATTTATTGGATGCTATGATGTGCATTGTGGATTTACAACAGGCACTGGAAGTAAAAATGGCAAGAGTAAGTTAGCTTTTAAATTGTTAAATATTTTTTTCATTTCCAAATTCATGCCCTAATTAAATTAAATCAACTGAATATTTTTTTGTATAATATTATCACAGTGAACTTTACGGTATGAAACACTTTCTTCTTGGTAAAGGCATTTCAAGTCAAATGGTAAATGATGGTTTTGTTAAAGAAAAAAGTATGGAAGACCTATACTTTTATTTATTTTAAAAAATGTTAGCGCGTGCTTTTGAATTTATATATTAGCCTTTTTTGCAAATACGCTCTGAAAGTGGATATCTAGCTTAAACAAAAAACCAGTCACACAAATAGTTTAGGCTTCCGCCTGAGTGTACGCATGCTTGACCGGCGTCTATTTTTTTATTTACTCGTGGACGAGATCAGTGAACCATTGATTACAAATACTATCCTTAAAGTCAACCAATCTTTACTATAGAAAGCGAAACATTAGAGAGTCAGTATTGGCAGATAAGCATGGAGGTTGAATTATATATATCCACCCATCCCTTTAAATCAAAGTTAGCAGACTTTATTGACTTGTTTTTTTATGTTGAAAGATCAATTACTTTATTTTTCTAAAAGATTATATTTTCTGATTAAGACTCGTTTTTGTTGTTGTCACTGATTATTTAGTTATTCGTTTTCTTGAATTGCCTTAAAATGATTTGTGAATTTACAGGCGTGAAAGAACAAATATTATTATTGATTGTTCGATACCTATCTAAAATTTTGCCTACTTTAAGACTATTTTCGATTTTGTTTCCATACTCATGTCTATTTCTACATTATGCCATAGGCTATTGGAATTGTAAAATATTGATTTAAATGACCCCCTTTCTAATCATTTTCGGATCATCAGAAATTAAGAAATCCAGTAAACACACCAACTGAGTGAGTACGGCGCACAAAGGCGAAAATGAATGTGGAAGAAGATTTTACGAAAATGTTTTATTTGTTCGTGAAACTTATTGAGTAGAACTCAAATTAAGGCTTGGTTAATTATTTTTCTTCGAGTTAATCAAATAGTAATTGACCTTAAACTACCGATTGCTTAGAATAGACTTTCTTCCATCACTTACCCATAATCGATCTGTTTATCTGCGTTAATTTATTTAATTGAAATTACTGTCACAATTTAATCTGGGTTTTGTGATAAGAAACTCCATTTTTAAGAATGGGCAAACTGATAATCTGAAAAGTATGTGAGTCATTTATTTCAATAAGTGAGTTCAATCTAGAGGACAATTCACATATAAATGTGAAATTTTTGTTACCTAAGACTGGTCTATTCTTCATATGATGTTTGGAATTGCCTTTCACTTTTTCCAAAGAGGACAACATAATTATGCAAAATTATAAAGTGTTTTTTTTCCTGAAGAAATCGTAAAAAAGTTTAACATTTTCTTCTTAGGGTTATTGACTTATTGAAAAACGCTTTAAATGGCTTATAAACAGCTCCGTGAAATACGCTCTACTGTAGGCATTTCAAATTGGTATGTTAAAGGTTTGCACTATTAGCTTCGTATTCTGATTAGCACATTGGGTTGTAGCTAATAAAAGCTGCCATAAACTAATTTCTATGATGTTTGTTTTCGTTGGTTTTGCTTTTAGCTTTAGTTCTCTCGGAAGAGTAAAAATGCAATACTCAATGCGATGTTTACGCCTAACATCAGTAACAAATAATTCAGTAATTTTTAAAATCATACAATTGTTCGGATCCTTCGAGAGTCTTGCAAATTGCTAAATTGATGTCCCTTCAAATGCCGTCCAGTGTTTTGACGTCTTCGAGTTATCTTTGAGGAAATAAGAGTTTAATTGTGCCGATCGCAGTAGAATGGGAATAAACGGCACAGAGAAACAGCGTAGGCTAGCACACGTTTATTGAGAAAATTGTGAATCCTATAGATTGAATTTCCTCACCCACTTCTGCAAATTCAGTAACCCATTCCCCTTGTTGTACCTCCCCAACTCAAAAAAGGCAAAGTCTGAGTTTAGTTCATTCACACTTCAGTTGAGATTTGCATAATTGAAATTTTGCCTTCAATCAAGATACAAATTCGATTATCTCTCGGAAAAATGAATGAATGAGCCTATACTTAAATGCAAGAAAAACCTACAAGAAAGTAAATTTGAATCTATTTCTTCTTTTTTCAATTACGGAACGAGTAAACACTGTCCAGATGTGGAGTATTTACTCAATTTAGAAGAAATGACTGCACAAGCGAGGTGTGGCTACCGATATTTCATTCTTTTTGTAATTTATCTAAATTTCGTCAGTCTTAAAACCATTCGCATATTTAATTATGTTTCGATTTACTCTAATTGTTAAAACAATCAAAATTTGTCCTTAGACGTGCATTAAGTTAGCTTTTCATTATTATTATTCCTTCTTCCTTAACTCCAAAATGCATTTTCACTTTTTCTTAGTTATTTGCATCGTTTCGTTTTTTGGTTGGGGGGGGGGGAGTGAAGGACTTGCTGAAGGCTTAAACAATACTCCTCTTTCACAATTGGAGCACAAACTTTTCATGGGACAATGAGTAAAATTATAACATTGGAATGTATTTTCATAAAGGTGTCAGACAGCCTTCAATATTCTTCACTCTTCTATAAATGTCCTAATTCTTTTGCTAATCTACTTATTCCTTCTTAGAAAATGATTTGCCATAATTTCTCAATCTCTTCGAAATTCACCCAATTGATATCTAAATGTCCTCTAAATAACTAATTTCGCATCATAAAAGTTTCTTTTAATAAACCAGTTATGCGAACTTCATTAGTAACATTTATTTATTTCAAATGGCAGGCTAGCTGATAGTTATCATTAGCCCTTTAGCTGACTTCGGGCTTCAGAGAGAGGAGGAGGAACATTTAGGTGACAAAAATTCGAGAGAGGGACAGAAAGGAAGAGGAACACCAAAGTGGCAAAAAGTCGAGAGAGGGGGACAGAATAATGATTCACAGACGTAAAAGAGACAGGCCTTCACAGAAGGAAGGTTCATCAAAGTAGCAGAAAGTCCAAGGGTTGGGACAGAATAATGATTCACAGATGTAAAAGAGACAGACACAAATTCAGAGAAAAGGTAAGATGAGTACTGTGAAAGGGGACGAATATGACATACAGTGGGATGATGGTAGTTGAAGTGAGAAGTCAACTGCCGAATAATAAACGTTTTGCCGTATGGGTATGCGTTGCCCAGGGTGCCCCACGTGGAGGTAAGTCTATCGCACACCCCTCATTAGTAACATCAACTTCCAGAAATGTAACTTGATTAGCGAAATGACAATTTATTTCCATAGAGGTTTTACTTAATTAGAGTCTAACTGATATTTGGATATTTCGTAGGTTTCATTGTTATCAATTAATTTCATTATTTACTGCATCAAAAATTTTTATGAGTAACAATGTGCAATCTAAGATATGATTATAATAATAAACAATATGGTCATGCTGTCAGCTTTAAAGAAAATTTGAAGCTAAATTGCACGAATATTAAAGGTACCTTCACGTTCAATTTACAAGTGATTTGAATAAATTAATAACTATATATTTTTTATTACTTTCAGCGTCGAAAAATCGTAAGTTGCATGCTACAATATGCTTTATGCTTTCCATTGTATTATTTGTTTATATTAGTATAGTATTTGTGAATTGAATTGCTTGTATTTTCAATTTAACTAATAACGTCTCGCATAATCCGCCAATTTCGTATACGTTTCCGTGACAACGCTTCTTCAAATCAGAATAAAAATATTAACTAGCGTAGTGTACTTGATTTGTTCATGTCTGGTTTATTTTTCTGTTTTGGTTTGTAAATATTTTGTGATAAACAAAGCACTATTTAAAATATGCATACTCTGGTAATGATCAATTTCGATAATTATGATTTAAATAAAACAGTCGCTTTCAGTTTCTTGACTTAATGTTTCCTGATAGAAAAGAAGAACATTTAAAGTTGAAATTGAGGTAAGTTGTAGTAAGTTAGGATTTCGTTCATTTCCATTATTGCCCAAACCCGAGAGTGCAATTTAAGAAAAAAAATAATTAAATCACGGGATGAGAATATATTTGTTCAAAAAGAAGTAAAGGACATGAGAGAGATTAAATTAGAAGTTGGGAATAAATCCAAAGTTACGGATGACTATGGTCTCATCTGAATTATGGCTACAACATGTCCTAATATTCCAGCGTTGAAATGGCAGGATATTAACCAAAAGCCTCCAGAGGGAGTACTCTTTTATAATGTTCAATGCGCAGTCATTATTTAATTAAATATTATTATTGTCATTTTATCTAATCAAATAGAGTGATTGGTCATGCCACCACGGTACATTTTTCTTTCCTAACAGCCGAGAACGGCTTGGTGGTGGTTTTAATGAAGTGCACTTAATTTTATATAACGCACACGAATTTGCTGACCTTTTAATTTAGTAATTTGGTCAAGTGGTAAAAATTTTCTCCTTTGAAGTGGCATCGAAATTGGGTCGTTTGGTGAACCTAATGTAATCATTTCATTGCAATAATCAAATGAGTTATTCGTTATTAATCCTACAAGTTTGTTTGCCACCAAAAATGCCATTTATTGATGGAAATTAATTGTATTTAAAATGGGGGAGGGGGGGGGAGTGATTAAACAGCTGTATCTTCAAGAGTATTATTCTTAACGTGATTGGTAAAATTATTGTTAAAACCACAAGCAAATAATTATTCAAATCACCTAAATTGCCACAGTCTAGACAGCACAACAGACACTTCCAGCTTTGGGCTAAAAATTGACCCATAAATAGGGAGTTAGCTTCTTGAATCAGCAGCTGTCTGATCGGAGGTGGGGGGGGGGGGTTAGGGGTGTAGAAGGGCAAAGCTAGACGAGAAAATTGACAGACATGGGGTGGAGGGACGGTGCAGTCAGGAAAGTTGCCTGCTTTTGTCCCTTCAGACATTCCCACGCATATAGAGCATTATTTAGTTTAGGCCGCCGTGTTGATGGCTAGTAAAGATTACTCTAAAAAGGGCATTCTCTCTGTTCACTCCACGAGCACGATTCTGAATAGCCCTGATTATCTTCAGTTCTATGGCAATTTTTTCGTTATTCAAAAAAGCAAACAAAAAATCGAACCTCTAGACTGCCTGGTTCGTGATTATTTGATCGACAAAGTGCAGAGACCGTGCCACTGATTAAGAAGCCGCATGAGTAAAGAAGATTTTAATTAGGATAGACCTGGATTCCCTTTGTCAACGTTAATTGAACGAATCTTTTAAAAGGGAAGATAATCTTCCCCCTTAATTAGAATTGATGTTCGAAATACAAAGTGGTGGGCATTTTCGACATTAAAAACGAAACAATCTCCAAGGGGTTTTTTGAATTCATGGTTTACTTGACATACTTTTTTCTGAAATATTATTACATTTGTTATGTAAAAGAGTTTAAAAGGCATGACCGCATCAAATTTTAACTTAACTTTTAAATAGTAATGAAAGCTTTTAAGGCTAAATGTACTTGCTCCTACACTGAATTTTAAGCATTTGATTTAAAATATGGAGATTGGCAGTAAGCATCTGAGATTTTCAGGAATTCACAATATTTGCATTCAATTGGCAATTAGCCACATAAAATATTCAAATCAACAATTTGTTTTTTTGAAATAGACGTTAATATTAAATAGTGAAATCAATGCTAGTACATTCGGTATCATTTACGCATTTTGCGACAAATTGTTATTGTTTCAGTCGGCTATTAAAATATGCACATAATATTCACTGCCTAGCTATATATATATATATAGAATAGTAAGAGGATATAAAGATATCATCCATTCAGGGAGCTTTTTTTCCAATTTTGAGATTGCACTTTGAGGGGAATTCTTTACTGGAAATCCTTTAAGAAATATGGCTAAATAGCAAAAGAAATGACAAAATACGAAAATAATATTACTGTGCGGACGTTAAGAAACAGCCGACTGGGATCCAGTGGTTAACTTGATTTATTGCAGATCGGGATAAATACTAACAAGATAAATGATTTACATGTCTTGTCAGATCTATTAGTCGTGCAATGGGATATTTCTCTCCCGCAAATTTACACTTTTCTCCCTATATTGGCAAATCTAAGAAAGATGCAAAAAACTTGTAAGACGAGTTTCAAAAAATCAATATTTTACTGTTTTATGATGAATAAAATACTTTAACTGTCATAATTTACCAGGATTAAAAATAGAGGAGGGTGAAAGGGGAAAATTTAAATGCCAAAAGGATAATTCCTAATATCCCAGTACGTTATATGCAAAGGCGTTTTCCGATCCCAAATAAAACTAGTGCTCATGTAACTTTAGTAGAAAATTGATAGAATAGATAACAAATAATTTTCTTCAATGAGGTTCCAATGTCTGGGGGGGGGGGTTTAATAGATAGGCCACCCTCAGTTGGGTAGTCAGTTTAATTCAATTTTCGCTTGCATACGAATTCCATTTTCCATGGTAGCTATTCCTGACATTGAAGCAAAAGTTGCATTATCTGAAGGCGAATTCACGCTAAGCTTGATTGTAAAATAATTTGGAAATATAAAATTTTTCTTCAATAAGTTAAATAACGTTAAACGTCTATTCAAACAGTTATCAATAATAACAATACTTTACATTTTGTCGTTCAGTCTATTTAATTGAAGTTTCAAAAATTTGAACCAAGTTGAAGGGAGGAATTTTTGAATATCTATATATTCCCAATTGACAACTTTCTTTTCCTATCAATCAAACTATTTCTGAGATGATTGAATCCATTACTGCAGTTGAATGAAAGTGATATTCATCACATTGAAACGATCAATTATCTTACAAAATATCAACCCAAAGGATTTTGACTTTTAGGATGTTAGAAATGTTGTTCTCTTCTTCCAGGAAAGCTGCAAAACTCAAATATACCTATATATATATATGTATTAAATGGCATGAGTTTTGATAGTTATCATTAGCCTTTTGGCTGACTTCGGGATTCACACGGGGAAGGAACATCAAAGTGCAAAAAGTCGAGTGGTGGGGATGGGGACAGAAGAGTGATTTGCAGATGTAAAATAGTTAGAAAGACACAAAGGTAGAGAAAAAGGTGAGGTGAGTACCGCGGTAGTGATCGAATATGACATACAGTGTGGTCATGGTAGTTTGAAGTGAGAAGTCAACTGACGGTTTATGAACTTTTTTGCTGTATGAACATACGTTGCCCAGGGTGCACCACGTGGAGCTAAGTCTATTGCATTCCCCACACGCACACACACTAAAAGTAAAAATGTTCCATCAGTGAGAGAGAGAGAGAAAGAGAACGCGACAGCTCGTTAGACAGACATTGAACGCAGCTTTTCTTTTAGCAGAGCTTGGTTGCCTAGATGGCCGACAAATTCATTTTCGAGCTATATGGACAAGTGCTTTGTTTTAAAAGAATTAAATCACGCAATTAAGGTTTATATAAGCCTACAAAGTTGAGAAGAACTGCACATTTTGATAATAAACGCACTAAAATCCAAGTAGATGGATCAAAATTTTAATTAAATTTTGGAGAATTATAGTTAAAAAATTGCTTGCATATTTGAACCACGTAGGCAAATGTTATTGGATGGGAAGTGGGTTGGCATTGTATCAACTCTCTCAGTATAACAAATTGAGCTTGTGGTAACATGTACTTCGTCAGTTTTTAAGTAAATTGTTACTGGGGAGGAGAATTAGATTGTTTTTGACAATAATAGTAGACAAAAGTGGTTTTTTCCTTCCTTTAAGCCAGGGTTGACCAACAAGAGACTTCAAATATGCATTTAATGTGTGATGTGAGTGGGATAATTCACTAAGTTTGGCAAAAAACCGCTGTGAAACAGTTTGAAAAGACGACTTCTATTATTGTCAGAACTAGGAAGACCTGCTCTTGCGCTCAAAAGCTTGAATAGACTCTGATAAAATCAGAAGAATTAATTTGAGTGCTTAAAATATCTTTTATATTTTATATATTCCCACTGAACCCATCGCAATATCACAGTATTAAACCATTTTCACATAAACATCAGGCGTTCTCAGAAATGATAAGAGCAATGGAAATGTGTTTTAAATGGTTCTGGAAATGTTATTTTTATTATATATATATATATACAGAGATACGCAGCTTTCCTTCACCTTCTGTGATTAATATGAAAGTAAACATTAATTACAAAAAGAAAGGCAAAAAGTAAAGTTAAACTTACAGACAAGGATAATTCTTAGATCGAATGGTTTTTGACCAAAATGAAATAATAGATGAGGTCGGTGGAAGATAAACTATAATCTTTTTTCTCGTAATATAGGCTTATAATTTATTTAATCAATTCGGAAAATAAAAAGATTCACAAATGTAAAAATCTAAAATTAATACTAATTTGACTAGTACAAAAACATGGAGACAATCAAAAACCATAATAGTTGAGAGAGCTTACCAAAGTGCAAAACCGTTTGAATTAATAATTAAAACAAACTTCAGTAAACATTTAAACACAGGCACTAAATTTAAAATTTTAATGGGAAAATAATTCAAGGAGCATGGAAATCAGGTGAACAGATTTAACAGATGCATACATCTGACGAATACATATGCATATTAAATCCAATTCCTTGCAAAAAATAAATTCAAGAATTATAAATTT